CTGACATTCAATAAGTATTAAATATTTTTACTTTTGTTGTATTTTTTACTTATATATATATATATATATATATTTAGTTTATGCAAAACTAGGTAATCCGCATGGGTAGACCCAAGGAGGATGATATCCGGAGAGCTCAATGTAAAATTCAGAGCTGATATGTTTGAATAAAAACAGACCACTTTAAGGTTCCATGTAATAAGCTATTTCACCATAACCCCTTTAACAGGGCTCTGGATCATCAGACTTTACTTCCAAAGGTCGAAATGAAAAATGAAAAGAAATTCACACAGAATTCACAGTGTGAATTTCTTTTCATTTTTCAAATCTTGGCCATTTGATGAACATGATCAGGTAATCTTTGCTGTTGATTCTACCATGCAGGACAACTATTGGACTGAGACATTTCCATGATATGGCGGCCCAAACTATCACTGATCCACCTCCATGCTTCACTGTTGGAAGAAGGCAGTCAGGGTTGTAAGCTTCTTTGGGCTGCCTTCACATATAAACTCGCCCTGACGTTGGGAAAAGAGAAAAACTGGACTTGTTTGAGAATATGCCTTGCTTCTATTGATCTGCAGACCAGGCATTGTGATCTCTTCACCACTTCAAGCTCTTTTGAATATTGCGAGTAAAGAGAATAGGTTTCCTCACAGAGGCTCTTCCATGATATGCAGCCTTATGGAAGTCACGGTGAACAGTTTTAGTAGAAACTGAACTATTCAGTTGATTATACAACTCAGCAGTCATTTTAGCTGCATTTGTCCGATGATTTTTTGCCACATTGCATTTCAATGCATGTCAGTCCCTGTCAGTAAGTTTGCAAGTCCGGCCCGAATTCCTACGGTTGCTAGAGGTCTTGTCCTGTTTCTTGAATTGCATCAGTGTTCTTGATATAGTAGCTCTTGAAAAACCAAACAGTTCAGCAACCTTAGTGATTGAGGCTCCTGCCATGCGAGCTCCAACAATTTGCTCTTTTTCGAACTCGGAGAGGTCACGCATTAAGCTTAAATTTTACTAAATTCTAAAAATAAATAAGGCAAAGACAGTAAATTAGATAAATAAATGTATTTACAATAGATATAACCTGCAATTACGAAGTTTTAAAGTTCTTAATATAATAAGTCTTTGAAATATAGGAGTGGATTTTGCAACTGTTCCAATTATTTTGTCCAACCCCTGTATATATATATATATATATATATATATATATGTGTATATATTTTAAAACATTTTTATGTTTATATTTTTTTTTTTTTATAGATACAAATATTTAAGTGTGTGCTCTGTTTATAATAAACAGGATTAAACAACATTTTTCGGCCTGAATGTCTGAGAAATTTTCACAGAAATTGTCGGACTTTGTCCATTTTATAATGTGTGAAGTCATATATATATATATATATATATATATATATATATATATATATATATATATATATATATATATATATATATATATATATATATATATATTTTGTACAGAAAACATTAAAATTTCCCTCTCTGCTGTGTGACAATAGCCTAGGTGTAGGATCTCTAACTGATGCCAAATCAGTCAGGTTTCAATCCTCACTTGAAGCAATCTGACATCTAGCCACACTCAAGACCTGTGATAGAGTGAAATAGTCTGTCTGTGTATGACAAGATATATATATATATATATATTGATAATATTAGTGGTCAATATATATATTTCCAAGAGGATGGAATCCAGGTAGAGCTCACCGTCCAAGACAGACCAAGAATATAATATAAATTATAACCATCGAATATTAGTGTTTGAGCCTTTTTATATATATATATATATATATATATATATATATTGTGTATCTAGGCAGCAATCCCTTATTTATACATGTTTCATTAATGACAGAAGACAAGATGCTGCAATTAAGCTTTATATTTAATTTTTCTTGTGCCCAAACAAATGTTTACTTTTCTGGACACAGAGTTTGTAGAAACTGTCCAAATGTTCTGTAATTCTGAGCGCTTTCAGCTATATTTTCAGCTATTATGAAGGATGGTTTTATTTTAATTTTTAACTGAATATATGTGTTGTGTGTATGTTTCTAGAGTTATAGGAACCTTTTATTTTCCAAACACAGTCAGAACATTGTGGCCATGCTCGTAGTTAATATTATTGAGTTTTGGCATTTTCTTTTAATCGCAGTACCAAGTGTGTCACCTTTAATGAAACATATATATATGTATATATTTATGCATAGTGTCTTTTTCTACAGGTTAACTCAGGAAATATATATATATATATATATATATATATATATATATATATATATATATATATATATATATATATATATATATATATATATATACTATGATATATATATACTAATATAATAATATATATATATATATATATATATATACTATATATATATATATATATATATACTACTAATAATATATATATAATATATATATATATATATATATATATATATATATATATATATATATATATATATATATTAATAATATATCCTCAAATACAAGTCGCCAGCCATTTTATATATATATATATATATATATATATATATATATATATTAAGCTTTCGGCTTACATAAGCCATCATCAAAAATGACAATTACATTACAATAAATTAAACAATACACGGATATAGCAACAGCTCAGATAGGATTAAAAACATGTATCAATATGGTGATTTTCTTTCATCTTTCAATGATAATGTTATTAAGTTTATCAGACGATATGAATGGAATTTGATTAAAACAGACAAAACTTGTCTATATTATTTAATAAAACATGCATTAATGAAAAAATGCTACCTAAATACAAATATATATATATATATATATATATATATATATATATATATATATATATATAAGGGAGGGGTTATAAGGGGAGAAAAGTGTATATTTTAAAGAGAGAAAAAACTGCAAACGTTTTTTTTTTTTGTTATAATGTGAATTTTTTTAAATTAGTTTATGCTATATATTTTGCTACACGAGTTTTGGGTCTGTGACCTTCATCAGGCAAAGAATGGTTATTTCCACATAGTACTAGGAGGAATTAATTTATTTTCCTTTGAGGATTATATCCTTTAAACATTTTATTTTGTGTTTAGTAGTAGCCATCTGATTCCATCTTGTACAGCCCCAAAAATGTTCCTTTGCTTGAGGGATAATAAAGCAATTAAATTTGGAGAAAGGGAAACAATAGAGGATGTCTTTGTTCTTTAATTCCTTTAAATAATACTTGGAAATAATATATATATATATATATATATATATATATTAAAAAATCCATTAAGAGGCTGGAAAAATACCATACCACAAAATGGATGTACATCAAAAAGTGCTCAATGCAGAGCAAGTAAATATAATAAAGGGGCAAAAGTCATATAAGTAAAATAATTTTTATTTTTTTAATACCTCCTTTTCTCGACTTCTGGTGCCATAACTGAATAATTGAAGTATTGCAATATAAATACTTATTGCCCATCTATTTAAGAGATCTCATGACAGTTTAACAAACAGCAAATCATACTTATTATAAAACCCAGGTTGTGTGTGTGCATGTGTGTCTGTACGTTTATATATTGGATCGGATTTCCTATATTTTTCAACTGATTTCAACAAAACTTCACAGGACTATGTAAAATTACCTTGCGGTGGTTCTGACAGCGCCAAAAATTGGAAAAACACAATTGTTTTTGCACAAAATCAATTTGAAAACATGATTAACAGGCATCACGAGAATGAAAGGGGGACAACTCATATCGAGTTATACTTAAAACCCAGGTAGTTTGTGTGTGTGTGTGTGTTCGTTTATATATGGGATCAGATTTCCTACATTTTTCATCCGATTTCAACAAAAATTTTTTTTGGCAGGTAGTGTTTCTTATTGTCTTGCACACTTTTTTCTTTATTTTTACATTCAGAATGCTTTAAAAATTCCATTTACAAGACAATTGTTTATAATAAAATTCTATTCAATCGATAGACTCATAACGATTGAAAACAATGTTTTTGTTTGAGTTTGGGTTTGACCAATTCATAAAAAAAAAAAAAACTAATAAAGACATGCGTGTTTGTCAACCTTAAACAATAATCTTTGTCAATTTTATTTTTCAGTCTTTATGATGGTCGATACTTGATCTATCTCTTACTGTTACATCCCCGGGCAACTGCTCGTATCTTTATATAGAGGGCTCAATATTAAAACAATATTAAAAATAGGTCGTTAATCATATTTTATGAAAAGATTACATAACTTCTAAATACCAATGTTATCCTAACTTTGAAGTTTCTTGGTAGAATTTCCAACCTTCAGTGGGTTCTGGTTCTAAACAATATTTCTAATTTTTTTTCAAATTTCTGCGTATTTTGAATTAGAGGAAAATGTATTCACACCCAATTTCAGTAGTTTTCTTTAACAGTATATCAATCTCTGTGGGTTATTTAATACTGAAATCTAAATATTGTGAATGTATGTCTATACTTTCAGGGTAAAGGTATGTTTTTTTTAGATGTTGATCAAAAAATGTATTGTTGGTATAGACTGATAGATAAAAAGAGATACAAGCAAAAAAAAAAAATGAATGATAAATGACAATGTTACTGGTAATAGTAAGATTAACCATTTCCTTATAAGGAAATATTCAGAATTCATTGGTAGAATAGCGAGGATTATTGTCAGTTAAATTTATAAAATCTGAGAAAGGTTTTTCAAGCTCTGTCACTGTTATTGGTCTTTCAAGTATTGATGATGGTTTCCTTCCTCACCTTTTGTTTGAAGTAGTGTGGAACGTCAACATCCTGGCTCTATCTTTATTTTCTCTTCAAGTTACATGTACTTTCTATTCTAATTATTGCTGCTGTTTTCAACTGATTTTAGTTGGTTGATTTTGTTTAGTGACAAATCAACACCTCTATGGGCTACTTATTTCTAAAATCTAAATATTTTGTACGTAATTTTATATGTTTAGACTAAATGTATGTTTTTT